AATATAAAATATATAAATATAGGGCTATAGCAGCTGAGGAAATAAAGAGTTATACGATATAATGAGTACAACAAAAGCGATATATGATATAATGATTACAGAGCTTATCTAGCTTATCTTATCCTTTAAGCTTTAAAGGACTTGATGCATTTCTAGTTAAGACTTTTTCAAGTAAATGTCTTAGACGGCCTTTCGGTTTAGAGTAACCTTCACTTTTCCCCACTCAATCAGTTAGCTCGTAAATCAATCGATCAATCCGTCAGCCCATATAAATCAATCCGCAATGTAGATCAATTGTTAGACTGTTCTGTTCGATAAGTTCTTTCTGTGGCTGGCATAAATGCGTTGATGCAACTAAATGTGGCACAGAGACACCATGTGACAAACACTCATGTTGAACGCATCCAAAATTTGTCTATCAGCGCATTGCATAATTTACGCTTGAATTCAATTGAATTGATGCCATATGCAGTGGGCCTGCACTGCGCTGCCAAATCAACAGTTGCAAATGTCATGCAGACACGCACGCATAAAATCAACAAGTCAGCACCACCGTCAACTGCTATGCGGGCCGCGGCTCAGCGTGGTTGGCCTCTTTGCCAACGCGGTCATGCACCACTGCATCGATAATAACAATTCCAAATGTGCATATTGTGCAAAATGCATATTAACACACACACACACTTTCGCACACCCATACGCACACGCACACACGCATACCACACTCATGCATATATTCATGAGAATAAGTTGTCTAATCTCATTTAATCTCACAACTTTATGAATTCGTTTGCCATAACCACACTTTTGTTAATATGTCCGCAAAAATAAGTCGCCAAATATGTTTAAGCGCTATTGTTTGCCAACTTTTTCAATAATAGTTGAATATGTTTTTAGGAATATTTAAAGTTTGCTGGCAACAGAGCAATCTCAATCGAACTATTGCCAATGCTGCGTATACGTTATTCGCTTATTTCATTATCACACTTGCTGCATGAAAAGCATTTTCCATTGAAAGCGAACTGTATATTGAATCAGCGTTGGACTGAAAAGCTCTCTGCTTGACCCTTTGCCACATTAGCCTTTGTGAGCACTTAAGCGACTCAAAGGAAGCACTTTGATCTGCTCATCATCTGCGACTGACACTGAGCAGCCACAGCAACATATGTATCGGACTAGCTCTCACACTCTCCATCCCACTCTTTCTCTCTCTCTCTCTCTCTCATTCGCTCTTTCGGTATATATGTGGTCACTAAGCAATAACCCCCGAGTACCTAGGCACTTAAAGCATTCACATTATCGCTTTGCTGTTCGCTATTGCTGCACTGATTGATAGCTGACAGACACACACACACATAGACACACACACACACACACACATAGACACCCACACAGACACACACATTAATTTAGCTGGTCCTTTAAGCTCGTTTGCCGTTCGCATTGCCAATAATTAAACAATCATTTAGTCATTCGAGCAGCAGGCTCTCGTGTCACTTGACTCAATATCCTCTAACAGCTCGAGAGCAGCAACGTTTTGGCTAAATGTGGAAATTGAAATTTAACCCGAGCACAGAGAGCAGTATTCGATTCCATTTCGGGTTGGCATTGAATATCTTGATGTTAAATTCAATGGAGCAAACTATCGATTCAAGTTGAAGGCAAATGAACAAATTTCAATCGTCCTTGACTAAACTATTGTGATTTGCCTTTGAGTATGTTTAACGTATTGAGTGATTTATGTAGTAATTATATTTAATATGTATTTAATATTAATGCTATTATATGAGCTAAGACAATTTATGGTCCCTGTTGAAGCCAACTGATTATGCTTAGTTTAGTTTAGGTTAGTTGTTCTAAAACCAATAAAATGTTAGATACAGTGCTTAGCTGAATGTTACCTAAACTAAATTTTTTTTATTAATCTAAATCAAAATGTATAATAAATATTTAATAATCTGCATCAATTCTTTGTGATTAAATGTTTAATTTTAAATAATAGATTATTTCATTATGATTTATTTGAATTATTTATTTTTTCAATTTATTTAATTATTTGAAATTCAATTTTTAATTTTGTATTTAATTTTTATAAGTTGATTTTTTCATTACTATTCATTTTAGTAATCTGCATTTATTCCATTAATAATTTTGTATTTAATTTTTAATAATTTATTATTTCATTACTATTTATTTTGCATTGCCTCTTATAATAATTTTTCCATGTTATTATTTTAAAATAATTTGATTCTTCATATTTCATTTTTAATAATTTATTATTTCATTACTAAGTATTTATTATTAATTATTTTTTATTAATTTTTCCATATTATTATTCTACAATCATTTGATTCCTCATATTTCAAGCCTCAACTAGCAAACCTATATCCTATATACTATGCACACATCAGCTCATCCACTTAATAAGAGCTTCAACATTTTGGCAAACAGATCGTTTGATAGGCTGGAAAAATGCAATTCAATTGAGATCTAGTTGATGCACTTCAATTAGGCTTTCAAACAGATGGGCAGCTGTAAGGCTGCCTGATTCCCAGCACAAAGTGAACCAAGGCCCATGATGCACGCTTCTGTTGCACAGTTGCCCAAACGTTTCCAATTGGAGCTCAGCTGCTCACGGTTGCGGCTGTGGCTCTGCTGCCAATTTCAAAGCAATCGCCGGCAGCAGCTTCGCTTTTTTGCCCATGCTTTTCGGGTTACTTTTTTGCACTGTGCCACTGTGCAACAGAGAAAGAGAGAGGAACGAATTGAGGCAGGCCGAATGATGACTGCGGATCGTTCGTTTGCCATACAAATCAATTTATGGCTGACCAACGTTTAAACAATTTTCGTGCCGCTTTGTGCAATTGACGTGCCGATAATTACGCCTGGCTAGCATGTGCGAGTGCGTTTCGCACAACAGCAGCAAAAAAGCTAAAAGAAAATCGCCTGCCCCTAGAGCAAAACGGACGAAAAAAAATGGAGAAAAACTCAGCTTACACAAAAATGGAAAATAGTCGTCGTAACTTAGTTGAGGCTACGGCAAATCCAAGAAAATCCAAGCTGCAAAGTCAATTTGCTTGTTTATTTAAATATCAAAGCAACTGAAATGCGCTGTTTTTTGGGGCAACATAAACTGGATTAAATTTCGTTTAAAATGTAAATGTACCAAAAAGGTGATAAAGAAGGAAAGAGAAGGCAGAGAGAGGGAGGTGCAGAGCGAGAAACCTTGCTGAATTATAGCCAAAATGTCGCCTTATGCGCTACATCAAAAACTAAACAAACACCTCATCAAAAACATCAAAGACGGCGCAGGCCTCTGAAAGGAAAGGCGCGAAGATAAATACCGTGAGGGGGGGAACTGAAAAACCGAAAAAAAAAATTGGCAACGAAAAACATTTTCTTGTGCAGAACGCAGAAAATAAAATCAAGAATTTCACACCTTATCAATTTTGTTAGATTATCAAAACCGAAGAATGGCGCCAGCCAGGGGAAGGCAAAAAGCTCTTAAATTGCATCATCAAGTTGCTGTCTCCTCCGCCCCTCTGCCCGCTCTGCCCCTTGCCCTTGACACTCTGCCCTCTGCCCTTTGATTCTGATGCTGATGGCATTGATGACGTTGGCCTCTGCTATCGCCTCGTCGCCGTCTTCGTGGTCGTCGTGATTGTTGTCATCATCATCGTTGCCACACTGTCATTAAGGAAGTCAAAAACTTAGACCCCAAAAACTGCGGGGGCTGCTCGGGCTGCTCGACTTACTCTGGCATCAGGGGCTGTTGCTTGCTTTGTGTGACAGCAGCGTTGACATTTATTTTGATTTCAGGTCGAGTGCAACCAGGGACTGCCAGCCGAGCTGGGACCCAGTACGTAAGTGCGTGCCTCACCCCCACGGCCCCACACCGCCCAAAGCCAACCACTCGGATCTCTGTCTACCGTCAACCTGAAGTCGTGCTCATGCTAATGTGCATTCAGCTTAGCTGCGTAAAAACCTTTGAGGGTTGCTGCCCTTTTCTTTTCTTTATATTTTTTTCGTTTGTGACTTAGCCCAGTTCCTTGTTGCTGTTGGCATAAAAGCCACTAAATTGAATTTTATGTGACAGTGCCAAGTTTGATGTGTGCGTTTATTAATGGCTGCTGCTGCTGCTCCTGCTCCTACTCCTACTGCTGGGACGTCCGTCCGGGAGTAATGATAGCAAAGCGAACTTAGCTCAAATAATTGATAGCTTTTTACACTGCGTCTGAGTCTCGAATGGGTCTCGAATGGGCACTGGGGAAGGGAGGGCCGGTCGTAATTGCAATCCTTACACTTAAATGCTATGAAATATGGTTAACAAAAGTATTTCGCGAATGCCTTTTGTCAGCCACGTTTGCCAATGCCAATGCCAGCTATGCAGAGTCTGTCCGCCAAACGGGGGCCCAGTGCATAGTCTGCATAACTTGTAGCGGCAACTAGACGAGCATATGTAAAAAATGCCCTCTCACACACATACACACGCACACACATGCATACACATGCTCACACATGCCTGTGGTCGCCAAAGGACATATATAAAAAAAAAAAGAAAAGTCGAAAAAACAAGTAAGCGTGCTCTGGTTAAGAATGATCGATTAGGAGATACCCTGCAAAGCACTTATAACCCAATCATTCGCTTGATTTATGCATACATAAAGCAGATATGAACACACACAGATGCACATGAATGCCGAGCTCTGCAGTGACTCTGCTTGGGCTGCAATATGAGAACAGACACTTAAGTCTTCAATTTTCCAACAGTTGTATAAAAAAATAAATAAAATAA